TTGTAACTCTTTGCAAATTTCAGGAGTGAGCCCCAAACCACCATCAACCATGGATGACTTTGTTCTTTACTACTTATTTTATATACCTCTCTGCATTATGTTCTTTTTTTTTCCTTTTCTGTTTTGTGGCGCAAGTGTTGCTATTTAAGTGACTTAGTGATAACTTTCAGTTGTATGGATGGACAGGTTAGGCTGTACACAACCGAGTTCATAAATGTAAATATCAGTAACCTAAGTGCCGACCTAAACAATCCATTTCAATTACATCCAGTCAGATAGGCTTATGTAGTGGGAAAATTTAGCATTTTTAGCAGATCAAAATAAATCGAACTGTGTGGCCAGCTTAAAACTTCCATTATTTCCTTGAACCAGTCAGATTCACACCAGCAGCTATGGAGTCTTAAAGTGTATTTCCACTTTTGTAGTCAAATTTGAGAAAATCCCTCTATATGTTTGGTATGTGATCCTACTCACACAACATAAAGAAGAAAAAAAATGTCTTACCTTTTAGCTGTTTTGTTAATGCAGGCAAGACGGCTGATTCCAGATTTTTCTCAGCACCTTCACGGTGATCTGTCCTAATGGAAAGACTTAGGACTGAAGTTTGAGGATTGTGTTTCTCACATTCACTTAATTAACATACAGTGGACAAACCACCTCAGACTTCTCACAGCCTCTCCTAACATTGCAAAGAAAAACAAGCAAGTAGAAATGTTAATCCTAATTAATTTTTTAAGAAGGGTTGAAGAGTTAGTAGCGCGATCCCAGGACAGGTACCCACAATTTATGGTGACATGGAAACCATGGATAGAGTCTGACATTACTACCATGTGTTTACCAGGAATGTGAGGCTCCTCTGCATGGCCATCAGAGGAGGGGAGATGAATGAGGGAAGGAGGATATGAGGCACTGACTTTTTTTTTCCTTTTTTTTTTCTTCTTTCCAATTTGTCTTTTTTTGGGGGTGGTTTAGAGATGGGAGGGATTTTGGGTTGTCGTTTTCCTTGCTTTTTTTTGTAGTTGAGACCCCTAGGGGGGAAGAATGGTTTTAATACCAATGGGAAGGGAAATGTATGGTGGCTGTTTTAGGAAGAAGTTATGAATATATTTATCTTCTGTTTTTGATTGGATTTCTACCTGGGAGAGTTTCTTAACAGGACGTTTACATGTTTATATGTCTGTATTGTTATATATAGAACAATAAAGAAATATTATACAAGAAAAGTTAACCCTTAAAACCCCTAACTCAAGTAAAAGCCGTTTAATCTGCAAGAAGCATTTTTTAAATACTTTTTTTAGCTTATGCTATGTGAATTGAAGCATGTAACAGATATGAAACTGGTTTTATCCAAACTTGGCTGCAAAAGTGGAAATGCACTTTAATGTTTGATTCTGAATGGTGACTGTAGATAGCAACTGTTCTAATGTTTATGACCGACGTAGGTTGTGACAGTTGACAAATGAAGCTCGGAGGAAGTCAACTTTTATGTTGATTTAACATTTTTGAGAACGAGTACACTTCTCTATGGATCCATAAAATCACTGAGGTGTGGACTATAGAGTACTTTCACTGGTTGCTCTAAATTGTGTTCAAACCTGAGTTGCAAAATAGCAGCTGAGCTCTTAATGTTTGTATCAGATTTGTGGCTGTAGGAAATGAACAGCTCCTAGTTTTGATGCCCATTGTGACATACAGTAGGCATTGTTTAGAGCTCCTATTGTGGAAACTGTCATCTTAAGTCATCATTAAAGGAGAACTATGAGGCGAGTGCTTTTCACTCACCTCATAGTTCTAGCCGACCTGTGACAATGAGACTGTCACAGGTCGACTCAGTAGATCGGGAGGTGAGCGAACACATACCGGCGTTCGCTCACCTCTCGATCCTGTCACTGCTCCGGCCGTGACAGGGGAGGGGCTGGATTCCCCCCTCCCCGCTCCGATCCTCCAGCGCTGACTGGCGGAACAGACTGGGAGGGGGCGGCTACAGCTGGCTCTGCCTCTAGATAGGCAGAGCCAGCTGTCAGTCACGCAGCTGGGTGGATCCAGACATAATTGTCGGGATCCGCTTCAGCTTCGGCATCTCAGTATACCGCGAGCTACAGCTCGCGGTATACTGAGCCTACGGTGATGGGAGGACGCTAGTTTGTGTCCTCCTGTTACTCTAAGGAGAACTATGGGGAAAAGCCTTAACCCCATAGTTCTCCTTTTAAGGCCTGCATTAGTGCAGATTGTCAAAATAGCTTATGTTTAAACCATTATTCAGTTAAGTCTGCTGTTGAGCTAATCATATCTCTTATAAGATAGGAGGGACAGATAGCAGTCCTCTCAAACACCATATGAAGTCCTATGGCACAGTCTTCTGGCCTTATCTTTATTCTGAAATGCTAATCCTTAAAGAAGATTTATGGGCAGAAACTTTATTAACCCTTGCAGTGGAGCTACCCCCGCACTGCAAGGGTTAAAGGAGAACTATAGTAACCCTTTTATGAGTAAGGCAGCTATCTTGGTTTGTTTCCTGCGGTGTGGGAAATTGTCAAAATAATAGCAAGATTAGGGTCTTCAGGAAGTCTTTCAAGTAATTTTTAACATTCCGACAAACTATCATCATTACTGAAATATTTGACTATATTGGCAATAATTATTTTATCCTCTGGTTTATTTCTCTTATTTATAAACAGTATTTTTCTCTTGTTGTGATAGCCAAGTTATGTCATTCCTAAAAGGTAGAATTGGTATGCTTGTATAACATATTTTATGTTCTCTGTTTACAACGTTAATTTGTACTTGTGCTAGGAAAATATCTGATATACAGACAGAAAATGACAGAGCTTGTTAGCATGCCAAATTACTGCCTGTTTTTCTAGCAGAACTAGTTTGAATTAAATTGATTTTAATGATCCTTGTTAGTAGCTTGGAACATTTAAATATATTAAAACATTCAAGATCAGGATTGACTTAACGCATTTCTCTTGGAGTAATGAGCTTACCCTGTTTTTATGAGTCCACCAAACCTTCCAATAAAAGTTATCAAGTACTTAGTCAAAAGGATTGTAAGCTATTTCAAATGCTGATGAAATCACTTAGGCCCGTTTCACACCTGGGCGTTTTGTAGCGCGTTCGTACGCTCTGCAAAGCGCTTAAACACCGAAATCCCATTATTTCCTATGGGTATGGTTCACACCTGGGCGTATTACAGGCCGTATGAACGCGCTTCAAAACGTCCTACGCCCAAAGAAGTACAGGAGCTTCTTTGGGGCGTTTTTGTCGCGCATTTCCATTGGGATACAGCCAAGTAGCCCTCGGAAACGCGCGTTTGTCGCATGTTTTTTACAGCGAATCGCGACAAACGAGCACATTCGATACGCCTAGGTGTGAACCCAGCCTTACAATAATTGCTGCTTCTTGATGTTTGAAAGTTGTAGTTTCCTGCAGAGTCAGTTGGTCCCCTGAGCATTGGTCCTGACTTTCTGTTTTAGAGTAACTCCTTTGTCAAGCAGAGTGCTATGTAGTCACCCTTGTGTGTGTTAGTAAGCTGTGTCCGTCTCCAAAAACACACAGACACAGCAAATCTAGCTACTCCTCTACCCCCTGGCCCCATCTTCTCCAAGCCAGTAGATGAACGGTTGCTGGAGCCTGCACTGTCCTTTCTGATCTTGTACTGGACAGGAGGTTCAGGGAAGCTAAGCTGAGAGACTTGGAAGCTGCTGTTCAGAAACATGATTGTAAATGTTTGGGCCAAAATGTAAAGCATTGCTTTGCTGGGCAATGTATAATTGTTTGATCTGGAGTCATTGGTGAAAAAACGTTTCAGAGTTTAATACTTCTTTAAATGCAAATATATGTACTATATGAAATACTATACTATACTTTGCAAATGCACTAGATTTACAGGAAGAGGGAAGTATCAAGTTTTTCCTATAGACAGATCCCACCTCCCAATTTTCAGGGATTAACTCCAGAAATAATAATAGTAATATATATATACATATATTGTATATATACTTTATATATAAAAATATATCCATGGCAGGGCATTGTAGTCACACTGTAATCAATCTCACTATAATTATACATGACTGTTGTCACTGATGTTGTTATTGATATGTTATCCTACCTCCCAACTGTCCCTCATTTGGAACCATATTCCTCTATCCCTCTTTCTTCCTCCGTTGTCCCTCTTTATGGTCTGATCTACAGATATCTATAAACCTAGACTGTTCATCTAACCTCTTATTATCTTTGTTGCTATTTGAAAAAGCCAGTATAAAAAAAAGTATTGGGGAAACAAACAATTCTGGGTTTAATTGATCATTTTAGGCATATAACCTTTTAATGGTCTGCATAACTGGGGATGTGGCAGGGGTGTGTCCATTTCCTAAATACATTGTGGTGGTAGGTGCCCCTCTTTTTCATCTCAGAAATTTGGGAGGCATGTAATCTTCATAAATGGTGCTACTGTGTAATAGTTCTACACATCATTTGTAACCTTGTCACGTACAGGTGACATTTTCCCACCAGTCTACTCTTATTGATTTGCTATTCTCTGTCTTCTAGATAACTAACTTATAATAAAGTTAGTTGCAGCTGCAAATACTTTTAGGCTAGATCATATGTGGCCACTTACATACCCGTGTTTTATTGAGCCACAGCTTCTTAAAATGGTACCCTCATTGAAACTGAATTGGAGAGAGCAGAGATGGGATGAACATGAAGATTGAAGTATGGCACTTTGACTTGCAGAGAAATGATTTAATGCTACAAATCTTAAACAGTGTGTACAGTGTAAATGTTAGTGACCAATCTATTTATAGCCTGCTTTGTATGCACTCTGTTCAGTAATTGCTGCCATTTGTTCTAACTTCAGTAGAATTGTCCATAGGCTTTACTATGAATGTGTGATTTGACCAGTTGCTTTGCCATATAGTAGCTGATCTTTATGCTTTCTGTGACACTTTTTTTTTATACATTTCAGTTATTTTAATAAGTTATTTTTTTCATAGAATCGCAATGAGATCAAGAATGGAGCTATTCTTCGTCTAACAGCATCCCCTGTAAGTGTTTATATATAGTATTTATTTAGGAAATGTTAAGCTTTGCCATCTTAAAACAGAAAGCATTTACATTGCATCACTGACTCTTGAAGTGTATGTAAAACCCAACCATGAACCTCTCTTATTTGCTTCATGTTGGCCTATTAAATACACCATTAGAAGCATATCTGTTTAATAAGAGCAAAAAATGTCTACTGATCTTCTCCGATAATTCAGAGATGTCCTGTGCACAGAGCCGATTGTATTTCTGGCACATTAAGGCCCCTTTCATACGGCTGCTCCGATCAGGTCCACCGCCCAGTTTGTCAGGCGGACCCGATCGGATGCCCAATGCGAGTCTATTGGCAGCAGTGACGTCTGTTTACATCGGGTTACCCCCGTCTATGGCCGTGTCCAGAATAACAAACGTTTTTCATCAGACCAGATGAGGGGTATTTTGATGTAGACGGACACATGTCTTTTTACATCCGATTCCCCATACACAGACATGGAGTCCGGTAATTGCAGTTTTTTCTTCCATCGCAATATGGAAGAAAACACTGTATGGGCACAGATGTCACAGGAGTGACATCCGCTCCATACTGCTGTGATCAGGAGAGGATCTGTGCACGGATCCTCTCCTGATCACCGCGTGTTAAAGAGGCCTAACAGTTTTCTGTACTTGCAGGACCTAAAAGAGAATGCAGCATGGGTGAATGTTCATGTATTGCAGAGAATTACTGCATGCTTTCTTTTGCCCTGACATACACTATATGCTTGACAAGAAATGATTTGGCTGCTCTCATCTTTGTTTCTGTTTTTCCTGAGCTCCTAGGTAGTCTCTAAACCTGAGGTGCTCAATATGGAAATAATATTTCTAGAACTGGAGCTCTGCCCCCCTTTAATACCTTTCTCTCCACTGGCCTTTGTGGCATAGCACATTGCACTGTGGTAAAACATAAGCTTTGTAGCGGGAAGTAGCTGTTGTATATTGCGCAAACCAGGATAATGGGATACTGGGGCACTGAAAAAAAACCTAAAAGCATGTGCGGGCACCTCCTAGGTGTCTGTTTTGTGTGTTTATATCAGTTGTACAGTTTAACAACTGGATTATGACTTATGCAAAAATAGCTGGAGTCTGCAGATTATCCTTTTATGTTTCTGTGGTGAGCTGTGCATTCAGAACTGTTGGTTTACTGTACTGACTAAAAACCTGGAATTATTTTTCAACTTGCATGCAAGCTTTAAGTTTGCTTGCCATTATCAGTGGTATATATAGAAATTATGGCTTTTATGGGAGGGGTTTGATTAGTAGTTATACAGATGAACTAGGTTAAGTCCATTTATCAGGGATGGGTCAAAACGAACCACCAAACCCTCCAGTATAACTATAGTAAACCACAGCTTTTCCTGAAATGAATCGGATTGCAGAGCGCATGCACGGGCCTGTCCAAAAGGATTTGCAACCAAAGGGAGAATAGGTAAACCACAGTATCTGGATATCTGTACCTGTTCACCAGGATGTTAAAGCAGAACTGCAAACTCCTATCCTTTACAGCCAAGGAAGGTGCCATCTTAGCCTCTATTTGGATTGCAGTTGCCTTGGTGCTTCGCATGTGAACGACTATGACACCATCATTTAAAGGCTTAAAGCTTGGTTGAGAGCTGAAAAAAGCACACTGGCAATCTTGATAGTTGGCATGCTTTGAAAGTACCTGTTTTGGGAGACATTAAATTGGTGGGTCACATTCTGCTTTAATGTGTACAAAAAACCCATTTTGTTCAGATACATGGAGTCAAAAATGTTAAAGTGAAACTAAACCCAGGTGTTAAACCTTAAAAATCCATTCAAGGACCTTAACTACTAACTAAACATGAAATTGTAGTCCATCATGGGAGCGAGCTTGGAGCGGTGGCTACTTTCCAACACACACAGGGGCCATGGGGAACAAAGGTAGCCACCCTCCAGAAGGAAGGACATTGTCAGCATAAATTCTGTGATGATGTGAAGATCTACAGCTGAGTGATGCACAAATAAGCTACATTTGTGTTAATAGTTAAGGTCCTTGAATGCATTTTTAAGGTTTAATTCCTGAGTTTAGTGTCGCATTAATTGTCAGGTATCAGTTTGTCAGATATCTGCCCTAACTCACTTTCCAATATTTTCTTATAAAGACTCACACTGCGCATCAGCTGCATGACAGAGTCCAATCTTCCAGCATGGACGTCAAACTTGAAGCACTAAAGGATTTGGCCAAATTTTCAAGAGATATTACATTTGCACAAGAATTCATAAACCTGGATGGAATCTACCTCCTCACCCAGATGGTGGAAAGTGGCACAGAGTAAGTTATCCATATTCACTTCCACTTGCTAGTTTTATGCTAATTTTTGTTGTTTATATCATATGGTGGCTCTGTTACAAGCTCTTTAATCTTCTCCTTTTTTTTTGTTTTTTTGCCTGCTTATTCCTTCTCCTTATTCTACTTTAAAATCCAATGCATTACCTTAAAATACAACACATTTTTCTAGTTTTGGATAGAGTTGAGAGGGATTAGATAACCTGTCAGTTTTTTATTGCTGTCTGTATCCCCGTTAGGGAGATTCCACTTATTTGTCCTAGTTACCGTTATCGCTGAAAGTCAAAGAAAATCCTAAATTGTGGGTGGTCATCAGAATAGGAATAGATGTAAGATCTTCCAATTGGGATACTGCATCTGCTGACCACCAGAGATTTCCCTCACTTTGGAGGGATTTCCTCTAACTTCTTGTGGCTATCAGACAGGACATGAAGGGCAATCTCCTCAATGGGACACATAAAACCTGAAGAGTTGTAACCCTCCCTTAGTCTATCCAAAACGGAAGAAAAAGTGTTGGCTTCAGCTCCACTTTAGGACTGGCCATGCACTGTTAACATTTCGGTTGATTCACAAGAATCATCTAAAAATGTTGCGTGGAAGTGCCAGTTTGACAAAATCTGATTGCTCAATCAACTTTTGTCGAAGGAGCTTGGTTGAAAATTGTGGCCAATCAGCTGCAGTGTGTTAGATTTTTTTTCTCAGGCTGATCGAAAACAATTGAATAGAGTATGCCCAGCCAAAAAAAGTATCCTTATTTCTTTTCACGTGACAGTGATCACTTCAGAAGAGATTTTTAACGCTGTGCCAGCTTACTGTTATTCATTATAAATTCTACTGTAAACCCAATTTTTTTTTAAAAGACAGTACACATTGTGATTTGTATTAGAAAGTACAGTACTCGACTGTGTATTATTTACTAAGACTGAACAGAATGACCAGTCTGACGCTGCCCATTGTATACACTCATTTGCTGAAAAACAAAATTGTATGTAAACCCTAACGTCTCTTATTTGCATCTCTCTTGCTCTGTTAAAGCAGAACTCCGAGCAAATCAAATCTTAACCCTTGCAGTGGGGCTACCCCTACACGGCAAGGGTTAAGTGCTCATTATGTCTAAAATTACAAAGTTCTATTCACCGGGACCTTGATCCTGGCTGGCTTCTACACTGCTCCCCCCATCTTGTCTCCTTCTCCACTTCAGCGATGGAATTTCCCTTGGCGTTCTCACGTTCTATACACTGTATAAAATGTGATGAATTAGAGGACCTTGGACCACTGGAACGGAGGGGGAGAAAGGCAGAAGGGACTGGTCTAAGCTGGCTAGGAGGATCGGGTGAATATAATTTAGTTTTTTTAGCTCCCCTAGACAAAACGAGCACTTAACTCTTGCAGTGTAGGGGTAGCCCCACTGCAAGGCTTAAGGTTTGATTTGCCCGGAGTTCTGCTTTAAATATACCATTGTAAACATTTTGTTATATCTGTTAAAGTGCCATCAAAATGTCAGGAATTCAGAGCTGCACTGTGCTCAATTCTAGCATTACCTCAAGGAGCATAATTATCCTTTGCTTTCTTATGTTGGACTACAGAGCAATTTATGTTGTGGAGAATAGGATGGGGGGGGGGGGGGGTTTGGCAAAAAAACGGGGGGGGAGTTTAGCACAAGACTGGTGGGCAGAGCTGACATTGTTTGGTTCACAAAAATGCTGTGTGTCTGCATATATTGCAGAGATACTGCTTATGCTTTTTTTGCTTTTTTTTTTGCACTGACATACACTTTAATAAAAAATAATTGAAACCAAAAACTAGAACATTTTGGGATTGACTGACCATTTAGGTAAAACTGGCATTCATGCGCTAATAGCTGCTATACATCCAACATCGTTATTCTGAAACACGAGATGAAAGATTAGAAACCTCCATTTTTAAATAATAGGAAATTGTAGTAAAAAGAGAACATGGCCAATGACCTGCTAAAATGACGAATGCATTGTTTGCCTTTGTCCAAATCCCGGTGACAATGAAAAGGTTAAGGTGTTATTAAGAATCGGTCCTTTTGTAGAGTTGGAGAAAATCTTGGGTTTTGTGCTGTAAAATTATCCCTTTGAGAAAATGTAATTAAAAGAAATGTGAAGCACAGCCAAATCCCATTTAGTGCAGGCCTATAAAGGGAATACGCTCGAGATTGTGCCTTCAATTACTCTCTGCTTCTTTGCTGTGTAAGTTATGGGACTGTGGGGCATTGTTAAAAGGAATGTTTTTTTGTACTACAAGAATGCTCTGTTTGTCAAGAAAGAAGTCTAAAAGCTCTTCCTGACATTGACTGGGGTTCATTATACAGATGTCACCTTTATTATGGAGAATTGTTGGATGATGCCTTGTGATGCATTCTATTTTTTTTCATATTTACTAGATTGGATCACTTGATGTAGCTTCATGTTTCTGTTTGTGTATGATTTTCTGTTCAAAGGAAGCATCACAGGTTGTTTTACAAGGTTTCAAGGATTTTCTCTTATCTATTGCTCTGAATGTTTCACATACAATAAGGAAATGGAATGTGATAAAATGTCACAAAATAAATAACATGGGTTTAAAGTGAACCTGTAGTAAAGAAAAAATATGTTAAATTGAACAAGTCCCTTAAAAGAACTATAGCTAAGCCTTTTTTTAATCTTTAGCACTATTTTGGGTCATTGAAGAGCATTCACGAAGAGTGCAGAACCGCGCTACACCCAGCATCCACCCTATTGCCTGACGGCAATAGGCTGCCCCTCTCCTCTCTCTTTCCTTCCAATGAGCACTGGAGTAACAGAGAGAGGGGAGGAGGGAATCCCTGTCTGGATTGCAGTGAGCTGAGCGATCAGCGGTATGATTTCTCCGGAGCTATAGAGCCAACGAGACCACTGCAGTGTCACACGCCTGCTCAAATTCATTTAATGCCTCATTCACACAGACGGCTGCACTCGGCTAGACACGGCACCTGTTACTCCTGGGCGTAAGTCTCTGCACTGTTGTGCACAGATATGCTGTATATTGGGACATGCCTGTATGAATGGGGCCTGAAGGCCTTGGAAAAGGCATTAAAGTGCATGTATATACCTTGTTTTTCTGTGGAAAACATCTCCTGTATGCCCCTGGAGCCTGAAAGGTACACATGACCTACAGACTTTTACTGGAAATTCCAGCTGAAATTCTGGCGTGTCCTCTGACATCCCCCAGTGCAGTTCATGTGCCTTTCTATTGACTACTGAGGAACATACCTTAAATTTGGCATGTATGGTAACTAGAGGTGCACCGAAATGGACATTTTAAAACCGAAACGAAACCGAAATAAAAAAAAATGTCAGGCCGAAACCGATACCGAAAATGTTTTTTATTTTTTTATAATTTATTTTTATTTTTTTACTTTTAGGGGCTTCTGGGGAATATAAGGGGGCTAAACAGACCCCTAATATATCCCTTTTAAAATAGAAAAAGAGATTGAGAACACAAAGTCCTCAATCTCTTTTTCTGTGTCCCGTGTTATCAATGAACAGGAATCCTCTATGAGTGTTCCTGTTCATTGATAACATGAGTACATTGTTTGTTTACTATAACTACAATTATGAATGAATGGGGGTGATGTAGATCACCCCCATTCATTCATAATTGAGGATATAGTTAACATACCATATTCTCAATTATGTACACACACTCGGCGATCACTGATCGCCGAGTGTGTGTACCTTGCTCTTCTCTCTGACACGCTGTCACAGGAGGCTGATCGAGCGGTGTAGGGAGAAAAGCCCAGCCTCCTGTGACAGCGCTGTCTCCGCCCCCACACCGCTTTGCCGGACTGTGATAGGCGGTAGAGCGATGTGGGAGGAGACGCTGGCCGCTCATAGCGCTCTCCACCGCAGCGCTCGGCCGGCTGTCACTTTCTCTTCTCCCCGCTGGGACATAGAGCAGCGCCCAGCGGGGAGAAAAGAAAGCAGGAATGCGCCGATGTATCGGCAGGAAAATGGCACTTTCGGCATTATGCCAAAAGCGCCATTTTCGGCCGATATATAGGTGCATCCCTAATGTAAATATTTGACAGGTAAGGTTTAACAGACACTTGGCTTAAAGCTCAAACATAAATCTGCTGCAATTCAAGGGCCCCAAAGGAGATAGATTGCCATTGGAGAATACAGGGGGGGGGGAGGGGGCAAGGGTGCCATATCGTTGACCTGTGAACTGTGCCCTCCTGTAGAGAAACTAGCCCTTGAAGCATAACTAAATTCAAAAACAAAAATTTAATATATTGCAGCTTATTAGTCCTTAGATGTGGTGGCTGCATTAGTTTTCTTATTCCAGGCTAAAGACCTTTTTTTACCAAGTACAGAAAATGCTTGTTGATTTTGACTGTTTTACAACTCTTTAATTGCTTGTTAAGTATACGTGAAAATGTAAATGTCCATAGTGTGGTGGGAGATGTACTTTAGGTTTCTCAACTACTATGCTCACTTACTGATTTCACTGATTTTTGCCAGGATCTGCACTTTGAAGTGCACCTGTCGTAAAAAAGAAAGCGATGGCAAATACTTGTCATACAGTTTAGGTACCAAAGGTACCCCCACACCTTGATATTGGCCAGTTACGTTTCCCATTATAGTGATGACCCAATAAAAAGTTGTAATGGCCTTTTGATGCTCTGGTGTTCAGTTTCACAGTCGAGACCTTGATTTGTGTTAAACAGTATAACAACTGTTACATTAATTCATTAATGGGACTCTCAATGTGCTTTTACAGTAAATCAATGAGGGTATATCAAAACTGGAGCAGACAAAATCTAGCCCACAGTAACAGTCAGCTTCTTTCTTCAGTTTGTTTGGTTAATCTTTGACAATGAAAGATAGAAGCTGATTGGTTCATGGGCAACTGCTCCAGATTCTGTCCTCACCAGTTTTGATACATTTTCCTCAATGCATTTTAACCTAAAAGTGATCCCAGAACAGCTCTCAAATGTTTTAAAATGCGAAGAAAAAAATATGAAAAGTTATCTGTTCACATGTGTTTTATGTGTTTGGATATGGTAAAGGAACTCTTAAATAAACAATATATAAATGTAATTGTCATCATAAATATGTGCTCATGTGTCAATTCTGTTTACATTTTTATAGTCGATATCAAAAGTTGCAGAAGATAATGAAGCCCTGGTAAGAATTTGTCTGGATCACCATTTGCATTGTTAACTGTGAATGCTTAATGCATCTTTCTGTTGTAGCAGCTTGGGGAAAAGCAGTTTGCTGTGTGATCATTTAGTTGCATAAGATCTGTTGGGAATTAGGCTTGGTCTCTCTCTTTGCTCTAACTTTAGTTGACTTAATGCTTCTCTTGTCTTAATTTTAATTTTAGTCATTAACCTCCCTTTACTGCTTTTAGAAGGTACAGCATAAATGAGATCAATTCTTAAAGTACATATTAACCCAAAATGCCAAAATCAGACTCAAATACAGTTTATATTTATATTTGATCAACATCACCTTAATTAATCCTACAAATCATTTTTTGTACCTTGTTCTGAGTTTTTTTCTACAATCCTTTGGTCTACAGTCTTTTGTTGGTTGTTTCTTCCACACATTAGGGAATTATCAGCGGGCGGTCATTTATTGACGTCACACACAGCAGGAAGTATGTGCCCCGCAGTTGTAAGGGGGACAGGCCCAACTAGTACTGGCAGTGGTAAACCATACAGGAGACAGGGTAACCCAGGGACAGTCCAAACAGCTTTTTCCTGCTTTTATTCAGCAAGGCTGTAAACCAAACATTGATGCAGGGGGGCTTTGTACCATAGCATAAAACAAAGAAAACATATGCTTGTCTGAGTCACAAGACAAGACTTAATCCAGTTCCTGGCTAACAAGGTGCTCCCTAATAGGTTTCCCAAAACAATCACAGTTGTCTTCCAGGACAGCCAATGAAATGATTCCATCTACCTAAATCAGAAAACACATCATCCACATTGGAATAAAAAGGAACCCGCACACTCCTACCTCCGTTATTTGTGTTTCCTTTGGCAAAACAGAAACATCGTAACATTTGTTATTTTCTCCAGGCCTTCGATATAGATAGCAGGGGCCGCCCTGCTCCTCAGAACACAGATACAGATGTAGCTGGAGGGCAGCACGTGGGGGCTTCCCGACGGCTCCCCAGCCTGTCTTTGACGACCCAAGGTTTCCCTCCAAAACGGGAGGCAGGACAGCCTTCTGGCGCAGTGCCTCCAGATAGAGGCCACCTTGTTGTGTCCTCATAGGAGCAGTAGTGCCTGAGCAGGGTGGTTAATAGCAAGGCTTTGGTCCTCTGTCTATTCAGTGGAGGGCAGGTCAGATCCCTCCACTCAAGTGCCCAGTAGGAGTAGGGGCGAGAGGGGGACTCGGTCGCTTTGAAAAACTCTGCCCGTTGTGTGTCATCCTACTAAGTGTCCGGGCATGTCGGCACCCCTGTCACGGCCGGAACTCTTCCTTCTGCTCCACGCTACTTATGGAGAGACCTTTGCTACATTACACCCCCCCCCCCCCCACCACCGTTGACACAGGATGGCTCAGCTGGGGTCGACTTTATCGAGTCTGGAGCCTGTTGGGTGTTCGTCTCGCACTATGGCTTTAGTTGTCTCGACTAGAAGAGCCCTGTGGCTAAAGACATGCGAAGCTATGCGGTCTGACTTTTAAAGGGAAATTGCTTTTTGGGCAGGAGTTATAAGCTGTTTTGGATAGGTCAGCAGATAAGAAAAAAAGCTTCCCGGCTCCTCAGAAACAACAAAGGAGAAAGTTTTTTCTGTGGCCAGAGGGGCCAGCAGTACAGCCACGATTCTCTTGTTTCTATATCTTAATTCTTAGCAAGTTAAAGGTTGGGGCTTCAAAAAAAGGGAAGGACGGGGGTTTTTTATTCAACCAGCCCCAGCCTGGATCCAAGTCAAAATGAAGCTCCGCCCAGAATGAAGGGGGGGGGGGGGTTGGGGGCCTTCGTCTCGTGCAGGACAACCTGACGGACAACAGGTTCATTTTGGACATTTCCAGTTCCCGTTTCGGTTCTGGCAGAAGAAGAAAGGAGGAGATTTTATTCCCACATTTTTGCGAGGATAAAGCCATCTGGAAAATGCAGACTTATCCTCAACCTAAAACTGGATGGAGTGAATCTTTTTGATAAGAAACCTACTTCCGCCAGGAGCATTGTTGGCGACAGTAGACCTCAGGGATGCTTACCTATACATCCCCATCAGAAGCGCTTCTCTGAGGCTTCTGAGATTTTCGGTGAAGGGGCCAGTAGGCACTCTTCATTTTCAGTACAGGTCACTTCCCTTCGACCTCTCCTCCTCCCCGAGGACCTTTACACAGGTGCTGGCAGAGGCATTAGCAATCTTGAGGGTAGATTTTCCGCATTCAGAAACGCTGAAGTTGTTCCTGGCAGTCAGTGACCCTCAGGACTTTTATGAGGGTCCTCCGGTTGAAGACCATCCCATCAGTTGTGTGGGCACAGCTTCACTCCAGGCCCCTTCAGAATTTTTGTTGGCCCACTGGGAGGGAGACACGGATTTGTTAGACATAGAAGTTACACTGTCAGGAGAGGTAAAACAATCTCTGAGGTGGTGGATGGAAGTAGGGAATCTGTCAGGGCAGGTTGTGGTATCAGAAGAACCCAGTGAGAATCACGACAGATACCAGCACTTGGGGATGAGGATCTCACTACCTGGAGCACGTGTCATGGTTCCTGGGATCGCCCTTTGAGCATGAAATCATTTAATATGAGAGAACTCAAAGCTATAGTATTGGCTTTGCACCAGTTCTAAAAATTAGTCAAGGGACAGCGCGTACAAATCTTATCGGCAGTAGCATATATAAACAAGCAAGGGGGTACCAGATGACACAACCTAATGTCCTTGGCAGAAGATACGCTATCATGGGCAGTGAACAATCTATTGTCAATTTCAGCAGTCCACCTGGAGGGCAAAGATAATTCTTTGGCGGATGCTCTCAGCAGGAACAAGGTGAGATGGTCAGAATGGTCTCTAGGCGATCAGACATTCCTGGCGATAACCCAATGTTGGGGAATGCCAGAAGTGTACCTGTTTGCCTCCTGCCTGGTCCCACCCTAGAGTAGTGAGTATGGGTTCTCGCTTATCCTCTCATTGGCTGTCCTGGAAGATGACTGGGGAAAACTGAAGTTAGAAACCTGGTAACTCTGTTTCCAGGAATCTTCCAGGACAGCATGGATTCCCTCCTGAAATAGCATGTGAATTTACTGATGAGTAACGTTTTGCCTTCGGTTCTCCGGGTAACTGAGGTGGGAGTTTGTGCGTTCCTTTTTATTCTAATGTGGATGGTTTGTTTCATGTTTCAGGTGGATAGAATCATCTCTTATTGGCTGTCTTGGAAGATTCCTGGAAACAGAGTTACCAGGTGAGAAACCTAAGTCACAAATATTGGGTACCTCCAGTGCATTGAAAACAATTAAAGTGCATTCTTAGTAAATCCTAGAATTGACAAGAGAGACAAAATTGTTACCTAAGAGAATGGGTTAACACATCTACATATAAACTCTGTTCTCTGCTCTTATAAATAATTTCCCTTGCTTTTTTAAGTTTTGCCCTTTTTGCGCTTTTTTCAGTAGTCATAAATGTATATGTTGCATCTGGTTTATGACTTGTCAGAAGGCCAACTGCACTGTATTGAAAAGTCTCTGCAACAAACCCTGCAAATAGGATATTATGTATGTTATATATAGCCTATATATAATCTTGTCCTAGCTTTTTGGTGCCATCTTGTGTCAGTCAAATGAAAAGTCTCCTTACAGTGCAACATCATATTGATTCAGTTATGTAGAATGCAAAGCTATGGAAATGCCAACTATTTGTTTATAGATCTTGGCTTAACATGCAGTCCAGTATTTTCTAGTAGCTTGCTGTAACTTTTAAACGTAGTTTTTCCTAGGAAGTGGGGAGGGGATTCAGAATATTTCTGTAAAATAGGTTGTATGCATTACAGACATTTATACCAGCCACATTTTCTCTCCTCACCTGTTCAATTTGTTCTTATTTTGGTGTTGTCCATGAGTGATACTAATACATCTTTTTACCAGAATGCAGGCTATAGATTCTGCTCATTTTCATTAATCATATTTCCTTTTGTATCAAGTTGATTTATATCAAAAAGGCAATAATTGTTTTTGTGCTGAAATGTCTATTTTATTTATAATCTGTATGTAAAAAAAGGATTTAAATACATTGTACACAGCCATGGTACAATTTTCATTTGTTAAATAAAGCTCTATTATACATCAAGAATGTCTGAACATTGTCTTTTCTTCATCATGGTTTATGGAGCAGATTACAAGGAAACAAATTGTAGGCGGAGATCAGAGTGAAAAGGAAAAAGAAGTGGGGACAAAGAGATGCTAGGTCTAACAGTCCGCATCCAGGGAGGCTTTTGGGAAAAGCAACAAAGGAAAAACATGGAAATACACAGGTCAAAGTAAATTTTGAATTGGTTGGGGGCAAAGCACAGGAACTGCATTGTCTAACCATAATACCATCAATAGTTTATCTGAATAATGTTATAGTTAGGGGGTCGCCAGGACGCCTAAGGAGATAAGGTGCAGCCAAATGGCTCAAATGATATACATGTTATCATATTGGTATTTACATGGACCCAGCTCTCTGCTTCCATGATGTCATTTAGATTGGTAATCCACTCAGAGATTGATGGTGGTTGATCCTGTCTCCAGTGAAGTGAAATTAATCCCTGTGTAGAATGTATTAGGTGAGGAGTAATGCTGCATTTGTATTGTTTAACAGAGGAGGGTTCAGATGAAAAAGAATAGGTAAGGGGTTATCTAATAGGTAGTCACCTGTGATCTTGTATAAGCTGACATATAGTGTCCCAATAAGGTTTGATTTTAGGGTATGCCCGCCATATGCGGAAGAATGTACCGTAGTGTGCACAGCCCATCCAGCAGGTATCAGGAATAGTTGGAGAAATGCAAGCTGGTATAGAAGCACCCGATACCATTTTGTAAGCAATGTGTAACAGGACTCCTGTAAAATGTCTATTTTAAAATTGAAATTAAATGAGAAAACACTAAGGCGTATGCTTCTCTTCGACTTCTCCTGAAAGCTTCTTGTGATAAGATATTACTTTCCAGCTTGTTTTGTGTTTAGAGCTGCAGTTTATTACGCTTTCTTATAACAATCTTTATCTTGTAAATGCATGACCTTGAGAGTTTAGCACCATTCTTCTTCTTTTTTTTTTCAGCTTTGGAGAAATGCTTTCCTATTCTTTGACAGCATTTGTTGAACTGATGGATCACGGAATTGTATCATGGGATACTTTCTCTGTGGCATTTATTAAAAAAGTAAGTATATATCAGAGCTTTGCTACTATAACCATAACTTGGACATCATCATCATTTGGCACTTAAAAACGCCCCCTTCGTTTTCAGTGGCATCTAATAAGGTAAACGCTCGGGGAACATAATCATTTTTAGGTTAAAGTACATGTCTAAGGAAAACAATTGCAGTATTTTTCTGTAATACATGCACCTTTTAAAATGTTTAATCTCTTTGCAAATGCTGCAAGTACAGAAACATACCTGCTGATTCTGCCATTAATACACTCAGTTCTTAACTTCCTGTAGTGAACTGACAACGCTGTCTCTGCTACATTAAAATCATAAGCAGTATTGTTAGCCCTGCCCTGTTCTCTTCTGCTGGACTTCAGAGCACCTCCCCTTATGTTATGAAGATGAGGAGGGGTCATTATTCTGTAATCCACCAGAAGAGAACGGGAAAGGGCTGAAAACATTGCTTCAAATTTCTGTGCATCAAGAGTAGCGTTGTCAGTTCACTACATGGAGTTAGAAGCTCATTGGATTTCTATCGGATAAACAGGCATTTTTCTGTACTTTCATAATTTTTAAAGGGATACAACATGGGAAAAATGTTCATGCATTGGAGAAATGTACTATATGTATATACTTTCTCCTTTTAAAAACTCTGTATATTCCGTACAACACGTAATACACCCAGTAAGATAAGCGCCTTCTAAACAAACATTCTATGGGAATATACAGAGAGGGAGGCTTAATAAATGTCACCAGTTAAATTGTTTAAAAATGATTTTTCTACTCTTTATTTAATGCATCTAAAAAAATGCATATAGACTGCTCTATTAAAATACATTAGCAACCTCCTGACTCTTGCTTCTCTGATGACACCATTGCAGTGAAATGCATCAGACACTGGGGTAACTGACCCCTCTACACTCACCATCTGCTCTCTCTGTGCAGCAGCCCACCATAGCCTTTTGGTGGATCCTTACAGACTACTCCATATATTGTATGCACCATTGATGGGAGATAGTAACTATTGGCAGCCAACCCCTTTTGGATGTGGTGCTTACGATAAGTGACTCTGCTTTGATTATCAGCATTGACATTGGGACGGAATGTCGGATGGTTAATTGACTTTGTTACGCTCCCTATGACGTTAATGTGTACAACAGTCGCTCACATGTGCTGTGTATGGCTTAAGCCGTATGTATTTATCTTGCTTTATCTATATTGATCTTTGCTAGTGGGTACTGGATGTGATGAAATTATATTACAGATACATATATACCATTTGGGCTAGGGGGTTTTCAATCTGCATGCGAGATTGTGGACGCTGTATGTAGGCATTACAGTCTTACTTGTCAGCAGTACATTAACTCATTTAGGGCCTCTTCACACCAACATCGGAAGGAGCTAGCAAGTGAACGGAGTATTCATTGACTTGCAATTTCAACTTCCGTTCCATTGCAGGTTTTTAAAATATTTTTTTCCCTCCTTTTTTTGCCAAACTTTATTTTAATTAACATGTCCTGAGTGGACAAACATCTCTGTATATTCTTTTGTTACTTGTTTTATGATTACATCCGCTTTAGTTCTGTTATGTTACGTTGCTCTGAAAAGAGTAGAGCACGCTATACTTTTTTTTTCCATTGCACTCCAACGGAACGCAAGAGATCACAGCAATGTCAACTGGTCCCATTCACACCCATACATTTTTCAGTGCCCTTGCATTAGCATTCGTTGAAATACGGATTTGGTATGAATGGGTTCCAATATTTGGAAAGGACTCATGCATATTCCCAAAAACGACATCTCTATAAGATAGATCATCTGAATATTGCAAGGAGCTGCATTTACTAATATTGGATGCAATTTATGGACACTGCAGACTATGAGTTTGTGATGAGAAAATAAAATAGAACTATTTGTATATTTGGCCATGTAGGTTTATGTTAATGTTGGACTTGCCTGGTTGGATGAATCATAGTATGATATATTATTTGACTCGAGGGGTCAGCTACAGTGATGTCCTTAATGCATTTTGCCGCAATGGTGTCATCAGAGGTGCAAGATTCAGGCGGAGTAAAACAAATCTTAACTGGTGAGATTCATTAAGCCTCTCACTCTGTATATTTCCATAGAATATACAGTATATATTATGCTCAGATGTATACTTTAAGTCTTTTAGGATATCATATTCTCTAAGACTGAACACTGACTAAAATGTATACGGCAGCACATGTATACAAAAGTTAAAACATTTCTATACCCAAAAATCTAAGATTTAATATATTGCAGCTCACTAGCGCTTCGATGTGGTCTGCGCATTCATTTCCTTTTTTCAGGATTTTCCACCCTTTATTGTTGACTGGTGATTATGGCAAAAACACATGTCTTTCCCTGGGGTGAAAACACTTCTCACTGCACTGTATCTATGGAGGAGCAGTGTTGTCACCCCTGGCTGCTCTCCTGATTTGGACTACGAACACCCCCTCCTCCTCGTCGCCATTATATAGAGGGATATTAATTTGTCGTTCACAGAAAATAGCTGATAAAGCTAACATTGATAACAAGAATATTCTTAGGGTAACACTGTTTATCACTAAGGGGGTTATTTACCAAGATGCCATAGGCAGCCAAATAAATATCTGAGCCGAAGTGAAGGGAGCCGAAGCCTCTTCGGTTGTTCACTGCAGCCCTATACGGCTATTTTGAACTGTACATCAGCTGCATTTGGCCCGCTTCACCTCCTTTCGGCTCAGCTGAACAGCTTCAGTACGTTCTGTTGAACCGAAAGGAAGAACCTGTTCACCTCAGCAGATGCAACATCTGAATCGGCTGAAGTGAACGTTTGGCAATTCCTTCTCTGCTGTTCACACCTATTCTCAAAGGGACTGAACAGCAGAGAGTGAATAGCCAAATGCTCAGCTCAGCATTCGGCTCGGTCATTCTGTTCACTACCTCAGAGTATGAATTGTGGAGGGGAACCGCATACTAATTTGTTTTTGGTTTTTTCTCTGTTTTTTAACAATTTGCAGAGTTTCATCCTGCTTCAGAGGACCGTTTTTCCCGCTCGGCTGTTTCCTTCAGCTGCTCTATGCGTTATTAAGAATAGAGCGTACAGCAGCCTATCAGTTCAGCTGAACAGAAGGGTTTCTGCAACTGAAGTGAGCCGAAGGATTAGCCGAATGTTCGGCAAATCTTTTGGCTCTTTAGTAAATAACTCCCTAAATGTAACAAATGGTACAAGACAAAATATTCATCTAGCAAATAAAGAGAGCAGAAAAGAGATCTTGTAGTCATTTCCATTGTAGTTTCTATGAAAGTTTTTTGTTGTTGTATTGACCCACAATTAAACTAGTTAATTCTGGTATTTGTCTTGTTAGTAATAGGGGGCTAATGCTGTAAAAGTCCTTCTAATGTGTTTGTATGCTTATACCGATGTGTAGGATTTAGAACCACACATATGTGTCAGGACTTTTTTTTGTTTTTGTTCAAGTGGATCTTTTCCCCCCCTAACTTCTTGGCAGCTGTAGTTACTGTTATACTGAAGCATTTTTTTCTGATCAGTTGGAAAGATATAGCTGAGCAGTAATTCAACACCAGGGGAGCCCCTCGGAGTTGCTTCAGACCTTCTGCATCACTTTGACGCCACCACTGCGCCCTGGTCATATGAAAAATGTGATACACATGTCTTTGCTGTCAGATTCCAATTCTATATTCCTTGGCATAGGCAGTTTAAAAGTTGATTTTACAGTCGCAGGGGAACAAAATGTTGAAATCTTTGCAAGCGTCACATGCATTTGGTAGTATATTTTTTTACAAGCAGTTCTTATAAGGATACCCTTATTGTAACATTGTTAATGTAACTCTCTTTTTATTGTTGACTACATAGCTGTTTGGGGTTGTTGTTGGTTTCTGCACCCTGCACATTACTCGTGTGCTTTGCTTCACTTTATGGAATCTCCTTATATCATTTGTTAAAACACATTGAGGGGAATTTATCAAAACTGGAGCAAACAGAATCTGGAGCAGTTGCCCATGGCAACCAATCAGCTTCCCTCTTCTGTTTGTTCAATTAAGGTTTTGAAGCTTATTTGTTGCCATTAGAGAAGTTTATTGGTTGGCATGGACACCTGTTTAAGATTCTTCTGCTTCAGTTTTGATAAATTCCCCCATTGTATTTTCCTGTAATGTTGTTTTTATGTTTATAGTCCAGCAGTATGTCCTAACAGGCATTTGTCTTTGTATTATTTTTAGATTGCAAGTTTTGTGAACAAAGCCGCAATGGATGTGTCTATTTTACAGCGATCTCTAGCCATTCTTGAATCCATGGTCCTAAACAGTCATGATTTGTATCAGAAGGTTGCACAGGAGATAACCATTGGACAGTTAATTCCACATCTTCAGGGGTAAACATGCATCATATCATGACCTTGCTGCTTCTAGTTGCTCTTCTTTTATGTCAGGGGTGGACAGTTTATTATGGAATTCAGGGGCCAGTCTGTCAAAGTCAGGAGCCAGCAGGATTTTTTTTAGGAGCCAACTCTATTGACAACAAAAGAAGATATCAAAAGTTAGGTGCCAGCTGTACAATAAAAAGAGCATTGGCTAACTGGATCCTGGGATTGGTCCTACCCCGTCTTATGTCCATACGTCAATATTCAGACTTTCTAGTTTTTAAGAATGTGGGCAGAATAGGACGTTTTTGTTAACGAGTGGCCCAGCACCTTTGTATACTTCTCATCCTTTCCTTTCCTCCTGTCATCTGTTCCTTCCCCATTAGATATTGAGGAATATATGGAACAGTACCATTGCAGAATAATCACTGCTGCTCAGTTGGTCGATAATTGTATGACTGCTTCTGTTGCTACCTTCACAGGTGGACTTTTCTGGGGTGTGTTCCATCCTCTTGGTCCATCCTTTTGATGACCATGTTGTTTTTAGTTCAAACCTTCTGGTTTATAACCTGTTGTGCAACTAAGATGGGCATTCAGTGTTAGATGTGAAGTAAGAAAATTACTTCTAGATGAGAAGTTGTGGAAACATTAGTATAACAAACTCAATCAATTTTATAAAAGTCAACAGTGCAGTAAAAAATAGTAATATTTTTACACTCTCTTTTTAATGTTTTTTTATAATGCCAGTTTGCAATTAAGATTTTATTCAGTAAAAATATTGTAATATTTTAATTATTATTATTTTTTGTTTAACCTTTTGACTTAAGGACGGATCAAGAGATTCAGACGTACACTATTGCAGTGATCAATGCACTTTTTCTTAAAGCCCCAGATGATAAAAGACAGGTATGTGTTTAACCTGTGGTTACAAATATAATCAGAATATTTTTTTCAGTTCCAAAAATAATATGCAGCGTCTGTTGTTTTAGAATAATGTAATTAGAGATTGGGGGTATACGAGTATTTATCAAACAGTGAATGTGACTGTCAGCAAATATTCACTTCAGGTGTATCTTCCTGGTACATGTGTTTTAAACTACTGAGAATGATTAACCACGTGTGAATGTTTGGTGCATGACACATTCACATCTTTATAAATATGCCTCTAGGTTATTGGAAGGTATAAATGTGTTCAGTGTCTCTCTCAATGTTATATGTTGGCTCCTCTGTATATTTATGCCTGTATTTCCTATACAGATTTTTAGATACTACCTCCAGGGGATTTTTGTATATCAGAAAGTTTGGTCAACATTCCTGCTATGTAGCGGCTGCAATCATGCAATACTATATAGACAGTCTATTGTTTTTAGTTTGTCTACTGCATACTGAAGGAGAGGAATAGTAAAGCCCATGGTTTCAATATTCATAAGCAGGAAGCAGAAATTCATGTAAAGAGCAACTATACCTACACCCATTTACGTATACTGTATATGTACTAGTTGTACTGATTTTTATTTTTAATCCTATTACATATTGAGAAAATGATTTGCATTTTAGTGACCTGCATTATAATTTAAAGTTCACATAAGTCAATACAGCACATGTCCATATTGCCAAGTAAATAACACTTTCTCAATCTTTCATTAAAGGAGAACTATGAGGTGAGTGCTTTTCACTCACCTCATAGTTCTAGCCGACCTGTGACAATGAGTCACAGAACGGCTCAGTAGATCGGGAAGTGAGCGAACACATACCGGCATTCGCTCACTTCTCGATCCTGTCACGGCTCTCTGCCGTGACAGGGGAGGGGCTGGATTCCCCCGCTCCGATCCTCCAGCGCTGACTGGCGGAACGGACGGGGGAGGGGGCAGGTACAGCTGGCTCTGCCTCTAGATGGGCAGAACCAGCTGTCACTCACGCAGCTGGGTGGATCTAGACATAATTGTCGGGATCCGCTTCAGCTGCGGGGTCTCAGTATACCGTGAGCTGCAGTTCGCGGTATACGGCGGCTTCTCAGTATACCGCGAGCTGTAGCTCGCAGTATACTGAGCTTAGGGGGACGGGAGGATGCTAGTTTGTGTCCTCCCGTTACCCTAAGGAGAACTATGGGGAAAAGCCCTAACCCCATTGTTCTCCTTTAAGAGACCCCGCTGCATTGCTTATATATGTGTGTTTCTACTGCCACCTGCAGGAGCCATGTCTCTCAGCTGTGAGTATGAAAAGTCTGTTTTCTTAGTCGTCCAATTGAGAGTCACAGTGGCATTCATTAGGTTTGCAGGTGGCAGTATAAACTTATATAGGGAAAAGATTTTTAGGCTCCATTGTGACATCTGTGTCTTGCGATGGAGAAAAAAAACTGACATTACAGGACCCATGGTAGTGTTTGGGTAGCCAGATCTAAAAGAGCGGACGTCAGTCCACATCCAGTTACCCTCGATCCTGAATGATTAGAACTCACGAAACGTAACTCTGATCTGTTTGTTTTTCTGCACCTGGCTGGAGCCGGGGGTAACTGGATATAAACAGATACCCATCCATCCGATGCTGATACACTAACATTGGGCTTCCGATCAGATCTACCTGAACAAATGACAGGCGGACCTGATTGGAAAGCCTGTGTGAAAGGAGCCTTATGGTGAGTGCAAACATTCTAACTTTTCATGTAGCAACCCTTGAAGTCACAAGTATTCTTTCCTATTTACCCTACAGTCAAAATTGTGGTCTACATTTTGAGGTGGGTATAGGGAGTGCAGCCGACCTGCTTCTGTGTTTTCATCCAGGCATTACTGTAGTACACAAGTGTATCGCAACAGTTTTGTAGGTAATCTAGCGATTGAAAACATGCTGCTTGTGATTCTTGAACACATTTGCAGGCTCCTCTCTGACTCTCACATACAGAAAGCCTGATGGGAAATAAGATTACTAAGAAGTTTATCACGGTTTCCATAAATCGGATTCAAACTACCTGCGATTGGTGATGCAAAAAAAAAAAGAGAGATGACACAGCAGTGGCTCCAGAAAGTACACTGTCCCTTCTTATCTGCCCTTTTAAGCTGTGGATTACAGAGAGGTTAGAGTAAAGCTGAACTTTTGTATTAATGACTACAGAGCTGCCCTTATTTGTGTTGTTTATCTGCCTAAAGTTCAGACAGATAACGAACACAAATAAGGGCACCTCTGTAGTCATTAATACTCATATAAATTTATTTCTCTCAAATGCACGCAGTGTAAGTACCTGAATTTGGTCAGCTTCTCATATCTCAGAATAGCAGAAAATCAGTTGCATAAGGGCAGTTTCAGGATCAATAGAACTTTTTGGCATCTAGCAAATTAACACACTGGCTGATTTACTGGTTCTTTTCCAATGGTAGTACAGAGGGATTAGTGACTAACAACGTTATTTACTAAATTGATCATATTGTAATCATTGGTACCAAAGTAAGAGGTATGGTATAGTGAATGTGTGGGCTGTGTGAAGTTCTGATGGCTGTTTCAAAACGTTTAGATGCTAGAGTGTAAAGCTAGTTTTGTGACCTTTGATTAGACATGAGGAATGTTGTTAACAAATTAGGGAACTGTCTCTTTTCCCAGATAGCCCCAATTTTTAGCATTATAAATCCAATGCTCCATTATGTTAGTAGAGTAATGCATTCGTACATTATATGTAGGACTTTCTGCTCTGAAAAATATATGCTTGTGATGAAATATTGCACTTAATTGTATCTCTCCTCTTAATGCTGCCTTTGGCTGTGATTCACTAAGCATTACTTTGAGGACAGCATTGACATCCTTGATTTTCCTCTAAGTGTGAGTCTTAAACATTGTAATTGTCTTGAGGGGGAATCCGAGCATGCTTTTGAAAATGTGATAAGTACTTGTTGCATTGGAGTTGCATGATGGTTTGCAGTTGTGTTTCGTTTGGCATCTAACAATCAAATCTATCATGATTTAGGGTTTTGATGTATTTTTTAAAAGGCAAACTCCACCTTTAAAAAATAAAAATAAATGCACACATATTCATGAAAGAGAAGATGTGCATTTTTTTGCATTGGAGCCAATAAAGCATTGCAACTGCGATCAGTGGATTGCGGGGTGCAGTGCTTTGCAGATTCTGTATCCCATCACTGTCCATACCAAGGTACAGACATTCAGTAACAGGAAAGAGAGTAGGAATGAAGTGTAGTGGCATCACATCACTTGTATTCAATTGAGAACTGCAAGTCCCTCTGCAGCAGTAGCTGATGGGACTTGTAGTTTTTCTATTCACAGATCCTGTCACGGAATGGGGATAGGGTTTGTTTTTTAATGTGACCATGTTTCATATTACACCCTGAATTGTGGGTGCAACATGAAACATGGTCTGAAGGGTAAACTTGGCTTTTAAAATTACTTACTTTTGAAGCCTTGCTTTATGCATGCATTCCTTCGACCCTGCTTTTAATGTTTAGAATTTTAACACTGCTTGGGTTTGTCTGTACTAGGGGCCCCTCAAGAAAAGTGTGTTTAATTAAATAGGCGGTTTTCTAATTTGGATAAATGTATGCATTCTTTGTTTCTCACAGCGATAGAAAGACAATAGTTACGAAGGAACACATTGCTAGCTTTGCCTTTCATATGCTATTACATGAATTCATGAGATCCGCACCAGATGCCTCGTTTAGTAGACCCATCTGTCATACAATCACTTCCCTTTAGCCCTGAAGTGTTTGAAACAGTTTAGGCAGAGATTTCAATTTATCACTGTTCTGGGGTCCCAAAAAGATATGGCTCTCATTAATTGTTAAACACATTTTTGTAATACTTTATAATTGTTGTCTCCAAATATTGAACACATGACCCTATCCCCAACAAACAGATTATCCATCCTTGCGTTGCCAAATTTTTGATCAACAAATTAGAAAAGTACTTATTAGAGACAGATCAAACCAATTCCTAGGTCATCTACCCAGCAAACTATTACCTATGATGCAAGCAGTCCTTATCTTTGTCATCCATTAAGGGACCCCACATGTTTTTTCACCTTTCGGTTATACTGCCACCTACAGGAGGATTGGACACTGGCAAGCAAAGGAACAGTAGGCCAGCACAGGGTATCTTCTCCTACTACCAGCATGCTTCAGTTTTTTGCGAGTGTCCTAGGGGAATGGATGCCTTTTTTTAAGCTCTATTGCTAGGACTAGCCTGGAAGCAACCTTTGGCACTGTTTTTCATGTAAGGCAATTTCCAGACCCCGTTCTAGCAACAAGTTAACCTTGAAGTGCTTTAATAATCCAAATCAGTTAGTATTGCCTTAGCACTGAGCATCGAGAGCTACCTCATTCATTTGGATTGCTGGGCACCATTACAATTTCTACTTGCTGCAGGTTCTTACCATGGATGCGATTAATACCAAGTGACTAAGTGCTGAAGTCATCCAGTGGGTGGAGTGTTGTGTGTGTGCTTCCTTTCATACCATTCAGCAAACATCTCTCCACTGGTGCTTCTGCTTTGCAAAAACCCTTTCGAAACCTCTGTGACCTTGGCCACGTCTGGCCATCTGACCCTTACCTGCCACTGGCTGTCTGATTTTCGTGAGCACCTGAGGCCTTAACGCAAATGCTGAGTTTAAGATGGTTTACCACTACACAGTTGCAACATGTCTGTTTCTGGACACAAAAGGGATAGTCCTACTGCAATGCATGATCCTAGCTCATTTACCACTAACAGTTCCATGGACTTTTGTTCCATGCCTTCTAAAGGTAATCGCCTCTGCAACCGGAAATCCTGTTATTTTCTGCTCATAGAGTCTTGTCATCAGAGTCCTCCTTGGTTTATCTTCCCTGTCTTGTGGGCTGGGGTCTCTACTGCAGTCCCAAGTCCCAAATTACTTAGTTCCTGACTCATTCTGACTGGAGAGGCTTAAAGCACACTGCCACACCTTCCTTCACAGATTTTATAGCTGATCGAGCCGTGGCCCTTGCGGCTTCTGAGCCATCAGTCGCAGCGACTATATTTTGTTCTGAGTTAATCCCATCTCTGTCAGAGATTATCCTTGAAGGGTCTTCTGCTAATATTACAGAATTAAAAGACCATTTTAGCTTCATCTTATATTCAATCCCTATTCTGGCTGTGATTCTAACTTGTCAAACCATGGCAGAATGTTCAAAATTCCTTAAAAAGATCTCTCAAATGAGGCAGTAGATTCTTCACAGATGGAGCATGTGGAGCAGATGGCTAGAGCCTTTGGCTTCAGCTGAGATGGCCTGCCGGAAGCATCTCAGCTTGTTTACTATATTGGACTTTTGTCAATACACAAGCTGGTCTTGTGCACCTGACCCACAGACTGACCCCTTGATGCCTCCTCCCTTTTGTTTCTCTTTCTCCTGGCGCATGTATCCCTAGGCCTCCCAAACTTGGTTCTCTGGCCACCCACAAAGTTTTGTGCAAGTAGCCTGCTAAACCTCAGGGAAGTCTTCATCAGCATGAAGGTGTGTCCATACTTTCCAAAGTGGGGGGAAGTGTGTTAATCCTTGAAGACTCCTGGGTAATTTGCCCATAAAATGTTTAGGTACAGAGATATTCCAGAGATACAGACTGAACCTACATCTCCAACTTCCTCTTCACCTCCATACCTTTTGTCATTGCCCCAGCTCCTGTACCAGATCAGTCTCAGGTGTCATATCGCAACCTGGTCACTGTTCTCCTCATTGTGGGATACCTAGGCAACCTTCTGTGGATTAAACAATCAGCATGGGTTCTGTTAAACAATATCTCTTTAATTGTCCACATGTCTCAATGATTCAAGTAAATCACCAGAAATCAATGCTGGTTTCCCCTTTAATTGCCTGCAGGCAGTTTAGATCAGATGGTTTCTTTTACAGAAGAAATAAGTTTTGTCTGCATTGTATCTGCTCTCATGTTGTCCTCCCTCATTCCTTCAGATACCTGTTAACTGATAGTTGTGGGTCTGCCTCTTTTCTTCAGTCTTCCCTTCCCACCTTTTGGAAGATCCTGTCATTAGAGGGTGCGTTCTTAACCACATTAAGGAAATGTGGTTCCTCCTATGTTGCTGGATCACCCCCCTTGGCAGTTCACCCGATCTGGATCCAGTTGGACAACTCCACGGTGCTGACATGTCTTAACCATCAATGTGCAACATTTCTTGCCATGACAAAGGAGGTAGTTCAGTACCCGATCTGGATGGAATTTCTAATCCTGGTCACTGTGCTCCTCCCTGGTGGTATCAACTGGAGTTCATGATTCTCCAACTGGTTACTTCTGGATATGGGTGAACAGTATATGCACCCTAGTTCATTCCAGGTAGAGAGTACCGGATGTGAACCACTTGTTATCCTACTTAATTTGCATACTTTTATGTTATCAGGTGGGGGTTGCAGCCTCATCTGGTGGCAGCTTCAGTTCTACAGTCCTTCAGACAGCTCTTGAGCTGCAGACAGACGCCAGTTTTCATATTGTTCACGTTGGGCCTGTTATTGATTTTGTTTTCTTGTGTTTTCAACGTAAAATCCTTTTTTTGCAGTCTTATTGAGGGACACAGGTCCCACCCTCTGTGATTATGGTCATGTCCCTTTGCACACATATTTCAGTAAAGCAAGGGGAATTTAAATCTTTGTGTGTTTCGCATTTATAGCATATCTTCGTGGCATGTTTTACCTTTCAAACCTGTGACATTATAGATTCAGCAGTATTATAATTGTAATCATTTCAGAAACACTGTACTGTGTTTGATAAGTGTTTTTTTTAACTTTTTTTCTGTTAAAAATAGGAGATGGCAAACATACTGGCACAAAAGCAGCTCCGTTCCATTATTCTGACAGTAAGCCATTTTTTTAATGTTTATTGTGTTTTAAGTAGTTTGTGATTTTCTGAAGTTTAATCATATCTATACTTTAAGTCTTTAAGCAGTGTTTTACATTGCTTATTTTTTTCATAAAAATGTTGCTGTTTTCTGAAGTCTTGTAGTGTATTACTAAGAAGTGCAAGGGGAGCTCTTAAACTTTAATTTATTTATTCTTTCAGTTATACTTGCGTACCCTCTTTAATGTTGTTTTGTTTAACAATATCTTGCATGATAAGTTCAAAAAACAATGTCCTTGGTTGTCTTGGGAATGGGAAGAAGAGATGCAAGTATTGAAAGTCTTACTTTAAGAAATACAAACAAAAAAAAACAAGCTATGCTATTTGCAGTTTAAAGAGATAAAATTTGACCTTGGGATGAGACTCAAGTGTATATAGTGATTTGAGTGATTTATAATAGGATATTTTGTTGTTCAAGACAAAATAATTGATGGAATCTCCTGGACCTGCACTCAAGAAAACATCACTACCATGTTTTTTGACACCATGTAGTTTATACTAAAAAATTTGCCAGAAAATGTCTTTATTACTTTGATGATTGGCAATTAGCAAAACTTTATGGAGTACAAACCTGGCTTCTACACACTCTGCAGATAAGTAACAACAGGGTTTGGTAGAAGAGAGGAGGAATGCCACCAGATATAAGATCAAAAAGGTAGCTGGTTTAAGTTGTTGTTTGGTGATCTGCCTAAATGTATCCTGCACTTGGTATAGGTCTCCTTGTATATGAAAAGCCAATGGTAATTTCTCCATCTCCTAATCTAGAATATTGTCAGTGCCCCAAATCAAGGATCACTGCAGTCACATCTCAAGTCGCAGTGACTTGTAACTGTTTTGCAGACTTGGGTGCTGGTAATGTTCAAGCTAACAGTTGTTTTTACAGATTTTTGAATTGCCAAATCAACTCTTTGAGGTGTTGTTGTCAAATGGTAAAAACCATAGTCTAGATTATTATTTTTGTGTCCTGCGAACCAATTAGGCTGTTAACTTAGTTGTTTAGAAAGCTATGACCAAATAGTAATGAGTAAAGTTAAGTATTGCCAAAACTATTTTGTTTTGGAGAGAGCCAGAAAGGTTAGAACCTCCGTCGAGTTTGTAATGCTGCCTTTTAATAGGAGAGATTTCCCATCAGTCAGGACAGGCAGTGATGGGAAATCTCTTTAACAGGAACACATTCAAAAACAAAATCTCATAGGACTGAGGAAGGGTTACCACTTATAACAGTGTTTTGCATTGCTGTCTATGCTTTCCTATTCAGGTGACAACCATATCCTTTTGAGTTTTTTTGTAGCTGCATCACAAGGACAGGAAGAAAGGGCCTCTAAGACATTTGTGGAGTCTAATTGAGTCTTTCTTGTTTTGCACAGCATGTTATCAGAGCCCAGAGAACCATTAATAATGAGATGGCACATCAGCTCTATGTATTGCAAGTTTTAACCTTCAATCTACTGGAGGATAGAATGATGACCAAAATGGATCCTCAAGACCAAGTAAGTAAAGAAATGTGTTAGACTGGTGATAGACTTCTGTGGACTCCGCAGTTGAAATACTGAAAAGGAAAGGGACTCATGTTTCCAGGAATGCCCTGGGTGGATAAAGGGGAATTTAGCTACAGATAGGCTAGGCTTCAGTGGTTAAGTATGGTAGGTATATTGTATCCAAGCTGCCCATCTTTTCAAATAGTATATTTTTTTTCCTCTCTATGAAATGAAAGCTAGTATATGTCACATAAACAATGCATTTTGTATACTGACACCTGACAATTATGCCTCTTGGGCACAATTATTCATTAACTTTAAAATGTATTAAATGGTAATACATCAAATCTTTACAAATAGTTTACACTATAAGCCTCAATATGAACATCAGCATCTAAAATAAATGTACTTTACTTTTTTTTCCCAGTCGATCCATTTATGATATTGTGTCTTCAGCTATACGTGCTATTGATTACAAATAATCTCTGCTAACATACAATGGTCTCTGTTGAGTTGTAACTCTATTCCATTACTGTCTACTTTCCTCTGTTTGTCCCCAGGCCCAAAGGGATATTATATTTGAGTTACGTAGAATTGCTTTTGATGTAGAGCCAGACCAAAATAACCTTGGAGGCAGCATTGAAAAAAGAAAGTCTATGTACACCCGGGATTATAAAAAGCTTGGATTCACTGTGAGTACTAAAACCATTGCTTATTTTTAACATACTGTGTATAATTCAGACTATATCAGGTGATGTTTAAAATTGTGTTTATCTAATAGTGCAAATTGGTTAAAACTACACAGCCTGACATGGGTTTTTTTTGTCTTTTTTTAAATGTGAAAAAAATTTATACTTATTAGTCCTCGGTGTCCAGGATTGTCGTCCTTGCGCTGTACTCCTTCTGCTCCCCACTCTTGAAACTCCTGCTTGTACATGCGCAGACTCACCACAGGTCTCTGGCAGATATTTGGGACCTGGCAGAGACCTGTAACATATTTGCGCTTCATCAGGTTCTCTTAGACAAGCCTCAGGTCTTTGCCAGGCACCACATATCTGCAAAAGACCTGCAGCGTGTCTCTGGGCATGCGCAATCCGAATCAAAATCGCACAATACTTCATCCCTAATTGAAACACTGCCTCATGGGATTCTCCGGAGGAAACTGGTGGCTGATCCTTGTCATACTTGTCTAGGTAGGGAATCCGCAAGTTGCAGGCCACACCATAATTAAGTCTTTACTCCGTGAAACATAAAAAAATAGCTACTATCGTGTAGGAGGGAGGGGGAACGAAGCAGATGAGAGGAAGTTCATTGTGTGTGTGAAGATCCGCTTTAACAAAAGAGCTGATACATTTACTAAGTTTTATTTGTGGGAGCTAATACAAAATAAAACTAGCTATCAATAGAAACCAGATATATTTCTATTTTCAAGTCCACACTAAAAAATACAATGGCTGTGGTCTTAATAGGGGGTGTGAGTGAGCAATATTGCCATTTTCTTTGGACAAACCAAAACGTATCTAATGACAATGTGCAAAGATGCATGTATTTCAAAATGCATTTTTTTAATACATATCAATAATCATAATATTTACATAAAGATTAAAAATGTGTTGGAATACATTCCCTGCTCAATTCGCCTGATGCCTATCGCAGCCTTGTTACATGCATATACCAGTTTGAAAACCATGATGTATTCCAACACATGTTTTTAATCTTTGTCAATAATATGATTATTGATTTGTATTAATAAAAAAAGTTTTTATGTCAACTTATGCAATGGTGATGTGCCTCTTTAAACGCCAGAATTTCTTGATACTTGTTCAATACTTTAATCAGAGGGTGAAGTACCTATCAGATTGAAAGAATCTGGGGTTTATCTTGTGCTAGGCAATTTAAAAGAGGTTAACGCAACCATTTGAAACACACTAATATGCACTTGAACAAGTAATGTATTTGTAAACTGAACTAAACATTTTGGAATTCCTCCAGTGGTGGTAGGGAAAAGATTACTAAATACAGAGATCATGTTGCAAGCTGATGTTTTGCAGCTGAGAGGAGGAAGAGACTGTGATATTAGGCATGCACACAGAGGGGGTAGGCTGACTGCATCCTTTCTATGAACAATTATGCGGATGTCATAGGGCTAGATCCTAGGAGCCAGATTTCCAGTGTGTAAAAATACATCTCCTAGATTGGACAGTCTTCTCAACTCTTCAGTAAGTTGTCCACGGCTGGGTTATCATATTATATCTGTCAGAATAGTCTTAGGAGGTTACTAGGCTTAGATAGTCAGAAAGGAAGGAGATGGTTTAACCAGTACTCTGCAGGCTGACTTGTGGTCTCAGTTCCCATCTGCATATCGGTGAATATGCGCCAGGCTAAAACTGGCACCTCCTGGGCACCTCTGAAAGGCTGAAAGGACAGGAAAGGGACTATTTACTCATAACCCTGTATGTAAAAATTGTGAAAGAAACACAGGGGGCACATTTGCAAATCTGACAGTGCACTCAGGTTAAAGGAAACCTGTACATAGGCAAATATGCTGGATGATGCTGACTTCCCTCTGAACATGTCTAGTTGCCTGGTTGTCTATGGGTGTAATACATTAATTGCTGACCTAGATCAAGCATGAAACTAGTGAATTCAAAGTAAACATCAAAACTTCTGACTTGCAAACTTGTTCCTGGTCAGTTATTCAGAAAGTGTTCAAGTCATGTGATCAGCATTGCAGTTAGGCAGCTAGCATATCAAAAAAGAGGAATTGGCAACAAAGCCTATGTATTTTTTCAGTGCAGGTGTCCTATAAAGATGTTAGCCATACATGGCTAGAGAGAAATCACTCGATTCCTCCATCCATGCTAAACAGTGTGGATGGAGCAATCTTCACTGCCTGTTCTTTTATTGCCTGAATACCGAACAGTGACTGCCTTTTATTAGATGTATTCACTGTTTGACCAACAATTTTACACCCAGTTCCTCCAATTGTGTAATCAAAGTTTGTTGAGCTGGGTGGTGCCAACAGGACCACCCAACACTTGCATTTTGGACATTTCAGCAGGAATGGCTAGCTTAAGTACACTAAAACCAAAGCAAGCTAGATGACTTACTGTTTAAAATGTATAGAAAATTGTTTCAAAATCATAGATACACATTTACTTGTGAAGTGTTCATGTTTTAGAAGGTTACTTAGAAAAGCATATCAGTGGTACTGATCGTTACCATATTAAGGGTCATAATATAAGAAACAATGCACAGAACAATGCTTTTGCATTAACCTAAGTGACCATGCTATGGCTTTGCTGCTAATGATTGTGCTTGTCCTTCTAGCAGTATAACTACGTATGCTGCCTTGGAATCTGTCCTTTTACTCAGAAATTTCAAAAAGAAGAATTACCTGTTGCTTACAGGATGAGAGAATAAAGGTGCCCATACACTGCACAATTCTCGTACGAGAATCGAGGGAAATCCCGCAATCATACCATAATCGTGCAGTGTATGGGAGGCGTGCAACCATTTCTAATGTACGGTCGCACGACATTTGTATTTCGAGCATGTCGGAAAACCATCCAAGAATCGTACGATTTTCGGCTGGTTTTTAACATGATCGAGAGATAGCAGCCGAACGGGCCGGAGTGCGCACGCGCACACTGCCCGTTCAGCATTGCAGTCATCGGAAGCCCGCCCCTCAGGGGGGTGGGCTTGCGAGGATCACAAGTACGATCTGCCTGTCCAAGATGGGCAGATTGTACGTTTTTTTAAGTACTTTACAACCCTCGCAAGACAAAACTCTTGCGAGGGTTGTAAAGTGTATGGGCACCTTAAGTCATCAGGGTATTGGCTCAACTGGAATTGTTGGTCCTTCGCTACTGTCCTAATCACCCTTGTGTTAATCATTGGTGCAGTTTTCATACTGCACTTTTGCCTTACTGAGTAAGCCTGTAATTGTTTTAAAAAGGCTCACTTTGTCGAAAAATGGCCCAATTTAATTTTTTCATATTTGTAAAGTTCTATATTTATAGTTTCCAGGTAGTCATAGCTCAGCTGTAGTAATCCTGCATTTCTAATTTGTGATGTTTTAACAGACCATAAAAATATTTCAATATCTCTTTTCCAAAAGAAAAGGTCCATATACATTCCTCAGTGATGAGGTCAAACAAACTCCACTCTCAGGAAAGGGAGTGACAAGCACAATGAATTATGTGTCTGTTTTTGTCAGTAATTCAGGGAAATCTAATACACAGACAACGCAGCCCAGTATCATATGCCTAGCACTGTTGAATTTGTGTTATTTTATGTCAGTAACATGGAAATAGATGTACTGGCGGTGTGCTAATAATGGGTTGAAGACTTAGTGATGCAACATGATGTTTATGGGTTACTGCTTTAGACCTCGGTAGCTCTACAAATGTCGCTTTTCCAGGCTAAGCTCAATTTAACATGCCAAAAAATTCAACCATTTCAAGAATATAAAAATCTGTTATATCATAAGACAGCTGCAGAAGCAACCATGTTGGTGAAACTACTAATTGCCAGCTGGACAGATAAAGTGGCACTAGTTATTTTGGCACTAGTTTGCATCTCCAACTGAGTGTGAACAGCTGAATATATGTAAGAATGCAAATCCTTGTTAATCTTTTTTTTTCTGCTTCAGGATTTAAGTTGCTGGATTATTCTATCTATGTATTATGTCTGTAGTATTTTAATGTTTAAAATGTGAACAGATTTAGCGAAGTTTGTGTACACAGTGTTATATTTTTCTGAGTGCACATGATAGGAAACGGTCCACATACTCTTCAGTGGACATCAAATTGCATGGATTGATGTCATCATTTTTTTTTCCATTCATTTTCTTTTTATTTAATTTCCAAGTTAGGTGACAATAAGCTTTAGTAACATTAGCAGATACACACTTCAGTGGTTACATTTCCGAGAAATGTAGGAGTTATAACATGTCAGTGGTCACACTGTGATGTATTAAATGCACAAACAAGTGTCAAAACAAGGGTGGAAGATACAAAGGATAGGTAGGGGATATAGGATAGAAAACAACTGAAGGAAAAGGGAAGGAAAAAGGAAGGAAAAAAAATAGAATATGAGATAAAGATATAAGGCAAGGTCTGATACAGAAATGCACTCCGATAAACATTAGTAGCTAGATGCATAAAACGAACCTACTGACTTCTTGTGGATCAAGATGCAGGTAAGAAATTGTAGTCTTAAAGATGATCCAGCAGGTCCATATGTTATGGAAAAGATCTTGGATATCTCTAGAATCGGGAGTCAATTCTTCCAATAACCAGATCTGTTTTTTTTTAAATGTATTTTAAAGCAGAATTCCAGGAACAATGCTGATGCAGATGAAAAATGAAATAATGAGAAGCTGTGTAAATGGTTGTACACATTTTCACCATTAGAGGTCATATTTGTTTTCTTGATGGGGACCCAGTTTTGCTTTCAGTGGAAACTGGCACTAAAGCATCTCATCACATTAAATTGTACTTCTATACATATGCTAAACTATTGAGTAGCCTTCTGGAAAGTATTTAGAGCACGCGCAGAACAGTTCTAAGGCCTTTATACTGGCTGAAGGGAGGAGTAGGGAATTCTTACTAATTTCTAACATTTTTAAAAACATATGACAGTTGGAGCCATTGGATGTTAACTGCAATCTGATAAAAAGTGCATGGCA